ATTCTTGGCGATGATTGGCCGTTCGCTCTCAAGTGGCTCGGAATCACCTTCGTCGTTAACGGCGGTAACGCGGAACTTGTACTCGCTGCCTGGATTTAATCCTGTCACCTCGAATTCCGTGAGCGGCGAATTTCCTGGAATCTTTCCTACTCTCACCCATTTGCCAGTCTTCGTGTCCAGCTTTTCGATCTCGTATTCCTTGATTGGAACACCGCCGTCATCTTCCGGTTTCTCCCATTTCACTTTGGCCGAGGTCGCGGTCACGTCCGTCACTTCTAGCGGACCCTTCGGCGCGTCCGGTTTGCCTAAGTAACAAACAACAAACGATGCAGAAAAGTTTCACTTTCCGAATTAATCGTCGAAATCGCTAGTTTACCGAGAACCGTGAGTTCCACAGTCTCCTCGTCTTTGCCGTTAACGTTCTCCGCAATCAGGGTGTACTTTCCGGTGTCTTTACGCATCGCGTTCACAATGGTAAAGTCCGTGTGATAATCGACGTTGTCGATCTTGATGCGTTCCGTGTTGGTTAGAGCGATGTTATCTCTCCAGATCCATCTGACTTCTGGAGGCGGTTCTCCCGTGATGTCCACGGACCATTTGTGCGTACGTCCAGCCTTGATAATCACGGATTTGAAGTTGGTTCTGTCGATTCTCGGTTTAACTGAAACATTTATACGCGATTAAGCGACGAATAATGGTAAAGTTTGGAAAGAAGCGACGCAATGTCGAATCGACGGATAAACTTACGGTTCCTGTGTTTGCAAACGTGGTTGTCTGTAGGTTCGCTGGGTTCGCTTGGACCAGCTTTATTGTGAGCGCGAACGCGAAATTGGTAGACCATCTTCTCTTTCAGTCCCTCGACCTTTCCTTCCGTCGTGGCGTCGGCGGTTTTGGTCACTTCAACCCAATCCACCGCGAATTTGTCCTTCATTTCGATGGTGTAGTGAGTGATCGGCCTACCGCCGTCGCTCTCTGGTTTATTCCATTTCAATGATACGCTGACGTTGTCGTAGTCGAAGATTTCCGGTTTACTAGGTTTACCAGGCTCGTCTAGCGAAGCGTTCGAAAATGGTTAACGTACGATTCTACCGAAGATGAAATTCTACATGCTTACCGTAGGGATTTTTCGCAAGAATAGCTTCGTCCACTTCGAGCGGTTCGGATTCACCCTCTTTGTTCACGGCTTTCACGCGGAACTTGTACTTCTTCTTAGGCGTCAAGCCAGAGAAGGTGAAGCTGTCCTCGTTCGGACCGACTTCCCCGGCAGGGATCCACCGTCCTGTTTCCATGTCCATTTTTTCCAGAACGTATCCGGTAATGTCGCTGCCACCGTTGTCATCGGGCTTTTGCCACTTCACTTTCACGTGATCGGCACGGACTTCCTCTACCTTCAGTGGGCCTTTCGGTTGCGACGGTTTGTCTGCAGGCGAAGAAAAGTGTGGTAGTTTGCGAATTATCGTTACAATGAGAAAACAAAGGGAAAAAACAGAAGGAGAGAATAAATGTACCGAGAACAACGACGTCTGCGATGCTTTCGCAGGTTCCAGAGCTGTTGGATAGAACCAGCTTGTATTTGCCTGAATCTGGTCTAGTCGTCTTTCTCACGGTCAGCACCGTGTTTCTTTCGTATTTGTCGATCGTGATTCTTTCCGCGGAATCTTGGACCAGCTCTTTCTGACCGAGGAACCAATGCACCTCCGGTTCGGGTTCACCGGCATACTTGATATCGTACTTGATAACTTGTCCTTTCTTCACGATCAGGTTGGTCAGGCCGTCGCCAACGATGTACGGTTTGACGAATCGACATTTAGCTATGATCGGTTTCGTGGCGTCCGAAGGTTCACCAGGACCGGCTTTATTCACGGCTCTGATCCTGAATTCGTATTGCGTGCCTTCCTTCAGGCCGTCGATGGTACCTTCCGTGACGTCGCCTTCGATTTCCTTACCCTTCACCCATTCTTTGCCGAACTTCTCTTTGTACTCTATTATGTAGCCCGTGATCGGTGCTCCGCCGTCGTTCTCCGGTTTCGTCCATTTCAAGTCAGCGTGATCCTTGTCCCAATCCACGACCTCCACGTTCCCTGGTTTACCTGGCTCATCTGTTACAAGAAACAAACGTCGTTATTTCACTTTTCTCGGAAGCTTCGTTTTCGTTTCGAGCTATCGTTCACCACACACCCCATGGATCCTTCGCGAGAACCGGTTTAGCGAACATCGCTGGTTCGCTGGAGCCAAGTTTGTTCACCGCTCTTATGCGGAACTTGTACTCTTTCTTCGCGACAAGATCTTGAACTTTGTAGACGCATTTCTCGCCGGGCATCACTTCTCCAACGCTGTCCCATTGCGCCTTCAAGCTGAGATCGAGGCGCTCGATCACGTATTTCACGATAGGGGATCCACCGTCGTCCTTGGAAGGTTTGAACGACACCACGCAGGAATTTTGGAAGATCTCGTTAACGTCAACGTCCGTGGGCGGTGATGGTACGTCTAAACAAGATTTTTACAGTTGTAAGTTGTACTGCAATCGTCCGTTGACGGCGAAACGTCGAGAAGAAGAGCTAGAACCCTCACCTTGCATGTTAATATGTACATCCTTCACTTCCTCTCCTTGGCTGTTACCAATCTTAATTTGGTAGACACCAGATTGATCACGAGAAGGTTTCTTGATCTTGAAAGTGATCTTATCTTCACTAACGACTATCTCCACTTCCTTCAACGGTAGCGCTTTTCCGTCTTTCAACAGTTTAGCTTCCACCTGGCTCTGTTTCGTGCCCTCGACTGAAAAGACGCAAATCGTACGGTATTGCGAATAGCGAAAGGTATATATCGAAAGGACGAGAACTTACTCTTGTACGGTATAACGAATACGATCGGTGCGTTGCAAGGACCTTCCACTTTATCAGGTACTTCGCAGATAGGTTTGCTCTCGCCTTTCTTCACGGTAAGCTTGCAGCTGCTCGTTAACTGTCCACTCTCGCAGGTGATTTCACCGTCGTCGCTCATTTCTACTCGGTTGAAGACTAACTGATGCTTGCCACCGCCCAAATTCTTGATCTCGATCCTGTCGTTCGGTTCGATTTCTTTGCCGTTGAACTTGAACACCGCGGGTGCAGTTTGGTCTTGAAGTTCTACATCGAGCACCAACTTTTCTCTCTCTACAGCTACCGTGTCCTTCAGTTTCTTGTTGAAGCGGTTCGCGTCTAAAAAAAAGTCAGCCCACTTTAGTCGTCCAGATTTTCATCTGTAGGTCCCGATATATGTACGTATATCCCTACTCACAGCTTATCACTATTTCAGCTTCAGTCTTGTCGGCATTGCTCACGCAAGAGTAGAGACCAGCATCGGTGACTTTTACGTCTTTGACGATGAGCTTCCTCTTCCTGCCGTCCTCTTTGATTTGCACCCTGTACGATAATTGTCACGTTCGCGTCAAAATTCCGCATCTATCTGAAGTTTAAGAAAAAAAGCGGCTCTTACCTCTTGTCGGGTACAATTTCTTGGTCGCCTTTGAACCATTTCACCTCACCACCAGCATCGTCGAGCTCGCACACCAGCGTCAACGTTTCTTTTTCCACGATTTGCTGGGACTTGAGAACTTTGACGAATTTGTAAGGATATTCTGCGGAGAGAAAGGGACAGTTCTCAATTTGGAGAAGTTGAACGGTGAATTTTCAGACGAAATAAGATGAAAATAATACTGTTTCAGAGTGAAACGTACCAACGACGGTTAGAACCGTCTCAGTCTTGTCGGATTGTTTGTTAATTTTACAAATATATTCGCCGCTATCTTCAAGCGTAGCACTCTTTATAGTCAGCCGGCACACGCCGCTCATATCCTTCGATATACTGTACGTATCGCCGTCCTGAAAGAGAGTACCGATCGTTTTATCGTGTACCGTACGTAAGAAGAAACTATTATTCGCGTAGTTACCTCCAGCTTGGTCTTTCCTTTGTACCACGTAACTTGAGCGAGGTTCGAGCTGACGGTACATTCCATGTAAACTTCGTGTTTGGTGTAGCCGCTCGACTTTTTGGAAAGTGGTTTGGTGAAGGTGTACGTTGGGTCCGGTTCTACGGAGGAAATAAGATCAGATATCGTTACATCGTAGAGAATTATCGTAAGAGAAGTTGATCGTATCGTGCGAACCTTCGACGTTGAGGAAGGCTGTGCTCGTGATACCAGATATTTCAATCGAGTACTTTCCGGTATCTTCAACTTTAGGGTTCGTGATAATCAATTGATAACAATCTTCCTCATTCTTGAACTTGTATTTCGCCGAAGGGAATAGCTCCTGTAGAAAGAACGACACCAAGTTAGACGAAAGTTAGTCAGATGAAGTGGAAGGATAAACTTACGTCTTTTCGGAAGAACCATTTCGGTTTGCAGTTCGGTTTCGAGAAATTCGCCTCGAAGACGACCTTTTTGTCTTTGCCCTCTTTGGCATACTGATCCACCAGTGGTTTGAGGAAACTTTCCGCTTTCTGCGAATACGAAAAGTCTGTTATCGGGGAAAGTTTTCGTGGGGAAAACCATCAAATCTAATAAGAACACCGCCAATAACGACAACGTTGCTAGGCATACAAGGAAGATGAAGAGTCAAAACGTGTGAAAAAATCGAAGGCGCCACAAACAAATGGATCTCGCTTAAAACGAGCCCAAAAAAATATTGGTAAAATTTTCCAAAAAAACTGCGAGAAAAATCTCGTCGACGATGACGAAGCGTTGCGAAAACCATCGTAGCTGGAAAATTCTACGAAAAATGATGGAACGTGTAAAAAATGTTTGTCGTAAAAAAAAGTCGACGCAAGACTGGCGTCGAAGGAGGTGTAAAATTGCAACGGATAAATACGTATGTATAAGAGAGAAGAGATTGAAGCTGTTGAAGTGAACTCTACGAGTGCACAGATCTTGCGAGGAAGAAGGTGAGAGTAAGAAAAAGAGAGAGAGAGAGAGAGAGAGAGAGAGAGAGAGAGAGAGAGAGAGAGAGAGAAAGAATCGCGCGCGAGTGATCTAGTCGGTGAAGAAACGCGATGCGTGTACATATAGAGAAAAGAGATTCGCATTCTGACCAGAAACAGCGAGAAAGTGACGAAAAATAGAGAGGAAGGAGAAATAGAGAGAGAGAGAGAGAGAGAGAGAGAGAGAGAGTGAGAGCGAGATTGAAATTGAGAAACAGAGAAAAGGAAACGTCGATATCACGCGAGATCACTGGTCGATCGTGAAACTGTATTTGAAGGTGTTGAGGAGTACGAGATCCAACCTCCGTCTTGGTGAAATGGTGCAGGGTCGGCCAGTCGGGAATTAATTCGGCGAGAGAGGGTCTACGAGATCCACTATTCTATAAAATAACAAAAATCGTCTACGATCACAGGTCTGAATGGCTATACGGGTATCTTGTTCGTTCAGGCTGATCGCAGGCAAAACCAAAGCGTGAGAAACACACGGACATTCGCCACGAGTAGGTATGTTTCGCGTTATCTGTTTTGTTTATAGAATAATCCATAGAAATATTAGTGGTATTAATGCGAGTGGTTTGACGTAAATGTTGAGAAGCCGAGTTCCTCTAAGAGGAGGAAGCGCAGGCCAAAGCAGGTATACATACATTACACGTACATACACGGTTGTTCTGAAAGGATCGCGAGAATTTCATCGTTGGCACAGCAACCCGAAACAAAAGAAAGTAAAAAACGCGACAGAAAGTCTCGCGATCGTACTAGCTTGGTGAATTGGACAAAAAAATTCACGTGTCTGTTCGTCGTTCCCCGTGAGAGAGAGAGAGAGAGAGAGAGAGAGATATGAATGTCCGTTTTCTGATTGTCTATGTCGGACCGATGGAAAAAAAAAAAGAAAGAAATTGCTCGTAATGGTTGAAGCGTTGCAGGGTGGAAGTGTAGGCGTTTACTCTCTTCTTCGAAACATTTAATCCTTTGGGGAAGTGGAACGCAATGCCAAATTTAGCGGGCTACAAGTGAATCGAATCGAAAAATGATTTCTCGGAGGAAAAGGCATCGCGGACCCAAGGGATTAAAGAGTAGAATCGAGCGCGTGGAATGAAACGGAAAAAATTGCTAAACAATGATTCGCGAACCTTCTCTTTGACCCTTGTCGCTAGCATCGGCCAGTCGGCGATTAGCTCCTGCAAACTTGGCCTGCGCTGAATGTCGAAGACGTCCTGCATGCCCGGCACACACACACCTTCACGTTAATTCCACTCTTATACGATCGCCGCCGATATCGAACAACATCGGACGACCCTGAGGACCACTTTCTCCAAGCTTCTCTCTTCGATACGGAACCATTTCGACGCGGAAAACCATTTGGAAAAAGAAGAAACATTCGGCAACGCGGGGACGAAGAAAACGCGTTTCGATTTTGCATCAGGGTCATCCGCGTTCCAACACTGACACAACATTTAGAGATAATGCTTGCTAGGTTATTGACGAATAGCCGAGCTTAAATGCGTATCGCGCATTATTAATCATACGTATTCGAACTGTCACGACAATGTAGTATTCTACTCATGCAATGTTAACGACCATTTCTATTCTTTTTTCTTCTCTCAAGAACAACGTCAATCGATGGAAATGTTAACCGCGATGTCGTTAATCACTGGTTAATCGACGACAATTGGTTAATGGCGATGAACGATTACGTGAACATCTACGATACGAGATACGACTGTAAGCGCAGCATTAGCTCTAAACTAACGTGTTATGTGTACACGTGAATAATATAGTTTTGCGTGTGTGTTCTCGTAATAATTAGGAAACAGTCGGTTTCGTCTTCAACTATCCTTTCTGTTCTCTTTTGTTTTTCTTTATTTTCGTTTTCCTCCTTGAATGAAAAGTAGCGGTGAGACGATGTAAATGATAACGTTGTAACGTAGGTTAGTGAGAGTTTCTGTGAGAGACAGAAGTGAGAGAATATTAGTGCGTCCGAGATGAAGTCTGGTCGTAGTCGGGCTAGGAGTTATCTATGGGGGGATGATGCCTGAAAACCTTGAGCCAGCTCCAGTTAGTTTCACCCTTCTTGTCTAGAGAAATTCGAAGGACTTCCTCACCCTCCGCCAAGATCACTATTTCCTCCCCGTCTTGATACCAGCTTCTTCCGTGCATCTCAATGTCGCGCAGCGACTACGAAGACAAACGTGTACAAAGGAGAAAGAGCCGAACGAAAGGAAGACGCTACGAATTCACTGGTATTATCGACGAACAATATACATATGTACATACAATAGAATGCAGATACACCGATAAGGTTAACATGTTTCTCTTTCACCTACTTACCAAATACATACAACGTAACAGTGTGATCGATACTCTCTACGATCGATTCTCCGATTTCATAATTAGTTATCTGGTATATGACGTTGCCCTTCCGATGATTTTTAATTCAACGACAAGCGATATTACTTTACACCAAATAATCGTATGCGTGTAGCGTACCGAGCTGTTATGCGATCATCGCAAGTCTTGGAGAACACGAATGAAATGCAACAACAGACTTACAACGAAATGAATCTCATGCGTACCAATAAAATTCATGGGCAAGCTCCTTGAAAACATTCACGAGAAAAAACTTTGAAATTTCGATATATACGTGTATATCTTAATCGTGAAAATCAAGTGTTTCTCTCGATCGTAAAACGGACGGCTACGCACCTTTTCAACTTTCTTCAACGCCGGCATAGGTTTCTCCACTTCCTTCAAGTCTACCTTCTCTTGTTCCTGTTCCTCTCTCGCCCATTTCTGATACTTTCTCTTCTTCAGCATAGCACGGAAGTCCATACCACTGGCGTCTACGAGCAACGATCGAGATCGAGGATCAAGAGAGGCGAGAAAATGGAATTGTGGAGGGAAGGGAACATACCGGAAACGTAGAGCTGCATCTCGGCAGAATCTTCGCCATGGATGTTGCTCACGACGATCTTGTAAGTGCCCTCGTCGTTGGGCTTCGTCTTCCTCATGCAGAGGGTGATCGTATTGGTCTCTGTGTCCGTAAGGAACTTGAATCGGCCACCTTCGATGATCTCGGTGATTCCTTTGTAGAACTTGAAGGTCGGCGCGGGCGTGCCCTCCACCCCAACCGTGAGATACGCCGTCGAGTCTGTGTAAGGTAAGGTATCAGGTAAGGCGGTACGTAGTCGGAATCGATGGAACAAATCGCGTATACGCTGCTGCATACGAAAAATATTAACTCCCCACCTTCAACGGCGGAATATGATTCCTGGACATCGACGATTTGAGGTGGTCCCGGAGGTCCAACATCTCGGAGAGGTGTGCTAGGCTGGTTGATCTTATTCTCGAGGTCCGCCACGCTGGGTCTTCTGACGTCCGCGCTCGGACGACGACGCTGTATCAATCAATCATCGATATCGTCAACCGTTCCCCCACACTTATTCTTCTTTTTTTCCTTTCTCTTATCAGGCATCGAAAGCATTCGGAGAAAAGCGAACAAGCGGTAACGAGCAGGTCCGCGACTTTCGTCCACTTACCTGCGCGTGTCGATTCGAAACCGTTCGAATCGAAACCCCGTAGAACGAAAGTCACGGCTGTCGTTCGATGCACGGTGCTCTCATGCGATGCCGCGGTGCAATTTATTATTCGTGCGTTAATCACACCGTTAATCTACGTCGTTAGTAAGAAGCGTTAAGTCGCTAGGTGTTAACCACAAAATATCGAGTGACTAATCGGAGTGGTAAAACGAGGCCAGTTGATACAAAGTATTTTTTGGCGAGCCTCCATCAGTGAGACACGATCGTTTCTGACCACGTCTGGGTAACATCAAGAATCCTCTTCGTTCCATTCGTTTAAACGCTAATTGTTTCTTTTTTTCTTTTCTCACCAGACAGTGTCTCGAGTAGAATCCTTGGACGAAAGCTTAGACGAAAGGAAGGAAGCATTGCACGTAATCGTATACTTTCCCACCCTGGTTCTATGGTTCTATGCTTCGCGTTTACGACAACATTCCAATGCAAAAAGCGTCGCGATCAGTTTGTTCGATTGTAAAGAGAAAGAAACCAGGGTGGTCGATGGTACAACGTAGTGGGTAAAAGGTACACGTAGGACACACATAACAAAGAGCTTTTTCGAGTTACGAGTACTAGTGGGAGTGTTTTACTCGATCGATGCCGAACCACTGGTTCTGAATTGTTCTCACCGATTGATCAGTCACAAGGTTAAACCTAACGCTACGAGATTAAGTCTTAATACGATGTTCGTTTCGTAATACGTGTAACGAACGATAAGTATGCACGCATTAAAACTTGGGAACCGTTGTTCGTCGCATCGATCAACAGCGTTCTTTTCTACGTTACGTGTGTACGTATCTCTTGGCAATTTGAACCACGGTCGATCGATACGTCTTACAGATACAGTTGGAATACTACAACGACGACGCGTGCAAATAAGAAAGCTTCTCGATCCTTTTATTTGCATCGCTTGAATGGAAGTTTCGTGACGCTTACGGGCCTTGTCGATTCTCGTCACGCCGCGTCGCTGTTAGATACAATTGTGATACATAAGGCATGGTTAATTACACATATACATACATATAAGAGGAGAAGAACCGATAAGACGGAGATGTACGGAGGGGAAAAGGCAAAGAGAGCGAGAAAGAGAGAGACACAGTTGACAATTTCAAAGAATGAATCTAGGCGGGCGGGTAGGGAGAGGGACTAGGATTAATCGGAATTACTATCGGCACGATTGATCGCGCGACTCGATTACCGGGTTCGATTTACGTCGATTATTTACATGAGGGCAGGTCGAATTTTACGTACAATATACACGGGTACGACGACACGATAGAAGATTTGCTCGATGGTACAAGAGAAATTGAACGTCGTACCTATGGTTATCGCCGCTGACACATACGACGAGCACGATCAATTCTAATTACACGTATACTACTTTCGTTCGTGGAGAATTAGGATTACGTATCACATGTTCAGAACAAGCAAGACTCCTTTCTACTTTACACACGTGTATCCATTGTCAAATAGGCCATAGTAGTTTTGTTTTTCCGTGTAACCGTTGAATCTTCAATATTTCGTCTGATCGAAGGGAAGGTCCTATAGAGGCTGTCCGACTAAAGTACGCTCGTACTACTGCGGCCCGTTCGACACCGAACCACGTAACACGCTACTTACTTCAAACACGAACGGTAATACATATGTACACGAACGTTTTCACAGAAAAAAAGAAACAAATACAAATTTCTACAAGATCAAACACTAACTAGAGTAGACATTTCTTACCACCGTCTAATTTCTACTCTCTGGATACACATAGTATTCGCTCGAACTAAGCACACGTTTATACAAATTAGCCACCCGGACGTTCCGACTGCAAACTTGCTGTGCTCAGACGACGAGAGACTGCGTATTGTCGTTACGTTAAACGGAGCATTCGTGGAGAAAATTGGCATCGTCGACTGAGCAGAGGAGCTCGGTTGCTGGTCGAGGAACGACCGGAAGCTCGATGATATTTTTTGCCAAAGTATGTACAGACGCGCATTGCGAACAATTCGGAGCTCTGCGTCGAAAGGAAAAAACAAAAAAAGAAGTGAACGCGAGAGTAATTTTGGCTAACCTCTTTCCCCTGCAGCGCACCAGGACGGCCGGACTTATTCTGTACGTGGTGCGTGAAAAATGAAAAAAGAAAACAGAGTAAAATCGGGCGGGCGTTGATATTTCGGTGGGTCTCGAGAGTTTGTTAGGGGTAAAAGAGTAAAGAGACGAATTTACTCGTCCGATTGCCAGTGTACTCTCTCGAATACGTATAAATTGGGCCTCGGTGGTAGATATTGTATATAGCGGGGAGCGGGCAGCAGCGGTGACAGCTTCAAAAAATGTCGCTAAAAAAAAAGGTGGTGTAGTCGCAAAATGAATATTATCGGCGTTCCATTTGGTGATATGCGGCGCATTGTTTCTGCGTTTCCTGCGTCTAGGAGTTTAACAATCGGCTGGTTTTAGTTTGTCACTGTTAAAAAAAACTGCTCTTTGTATGATATAGCTGTTTTTCACGGAAATCCAATCCAAATCCTTCGTGGCTGGGGGGCAGGTGTGGGCGGTAGAAAAAAATTGAAAAAGTCAAGTATGAAAGTAGTGGGAGAGAAAAAAATTGTGGCCGAGAAAGAGAATTTGGCAGGTAAGCTTTGTGTTATAGCGAACACAAATCTCACCTTAGAGTCAAACACCTCGCCGGGGCGTAACCTTCCCAACTGCAAAAAATTATAGAGACGTGGGTCAGCATTCTGAGTGTACTTCGGTTAGTCGTCTGGTATCCCTTATCGGTATCCTGATTGAACGGTGCATGAAACGGAGGCAAAAAAAATGATTTCGGGGAGAGGCTACCGCAAGTTCGAAGCGGTAAAGTTGAGAAAACGAAAGAAAAAAAAACCAGAGGAACTGGGGGAGAAGGTAGAGAGGAGAGGAAGAGAAAATTGTACAGGGTTCCGAAAAAATGGGGGGAGCGGTGAAATCACAAGGTCGTCGAAGTTAATTCGGGGGGTTGTCCGTATGCGGGACGCTTGTGCAGTCAATGCAGGTGTACCGTTAAATCAGCCGACGTACGCAATTTCGCATAGAGTATAGTTTAGCGTGTGCCTGATATAGCGATTTATCGCGTTCTAGAAAAGAGATTGGAAAGAGTTGCGACTCGATACTCGATTCGAGAAAATCGGCCTGAGAACGAGTGGCGTGTCCCGCGGGAAACGAGCACGAAACGAGCACGAAACGAGCACGAAACGA